GTTTCCACACCTCCCTGCCTGGGGACCAGAAGGTGCTACATGGGCAGCCACAGACAAAAGCCGCGACATGGTGGGCACACCCGGGTGGGACTTCGATGGCCTGGTGCTGAGGCACAGGCTGTTACTCCGTCTCCGGCTGCTCCAGGGCCACCGCCAATGGCCTTGCACCCACATCTTACACAGCTGGGCTGGGGGTGGGGGTGGGCGCTGTCCACGTGCACCCTGGAGTGAATGGTGACCCTGCCCCTGAGCCGCACGGAGGCCCTAGGTCCCGCTTCGGTGAAGGAGCTTTGATTTACAAAGCATGTTCCCGGACATACCCGGGGGCAGGTGCCAACGCCTCCCGTCAACCAAGAGGGGCTTTTGGGGGGATATTTTTTCATCTTGGAGGTCATTCTGCAGGTAATCTTCGCGCACAGGACTCCACCTGCTGGCTGGGGACGTCTTGGGAGGTTTGCAGTCCCAAGGAGCACCCACCGAGGCGTCGTCCTGGCCGTGAACACGCTCGTGTGCTTGATTCTGAAGCAGAGTGTTACCGTGAGCTGTCACGGGGGCGGGACGCAGGGCCACGCAGTTTACATGCACTGTCCACCGAGTGCCACGGTGGCTCCGTGTTAGCGCCTTGACGTTGCAGGCCTGGGAGCCGAGGTGCGAGCGCGAGGTGACGCGTGTGTGAGCCTGCACGAGTGCAAGAGCGGGGCTGGACTGCGCTCCCGCGGCCTGACCAGGACGCACAGTCCACCCACCGCGACGTCTGCCAACACGTGTGGCTGCCTGACCTCTCGCCTTCTTCTTGATGATCCTTCTGGAAAACACTACCTCGGTGGTGGTTGTGGGGGGACACAGTGCCCCTCACCTGGGACCCCCAAAACCAGTCAGAAGCAAGGGCACGCAGCAATCAGGATGGCCACAAATGTCTTAGAAAAGCTGGACCTCAAAGTATTTAACGAGAGATGCCCTTCATCACCTCCTCTTCCTTCCTTCCTCCCGTCCAGCCTTCCTTCCCTCTTTCCCTCCGTCCCTCCTTCCTTCCAGGCCACAGGGCTGCCCTCACGCAGGCCCTGCAAAGGATGCCTCGGAGGATGCCTGCGTGAACGTCTCCCAATCTAGGAATGCCCGGAGCAGAGAGCACTTTTGGGAGGATGGAGGAGAGAGGGGGAGTCCTGCGGGGGGGAAGGTGGCTCCCTGGGGAGGCCCAGGCTGCTGCACGCGCCCTGGGCACAGGCCGGGGGATCATTTATGCAGCTGCTTGCAGTCACTTAGGAAATGAAGTGGGACGCACACGCTTGGAGAAATAAGAATTTTTAAAAATTCATGTATATTCAAGCGACCGCAACAGTGTGCTTTGCTGTGTTTGAAGACCAGTCGGTGATACTGCGCTCGCTAGTGTTAGATCAGATGGCTTTGTCCCCTCTAGGTCCCCGCGGGTGGGGATCCAGATTACTTCGGCGCTGGCCAGCTGTGTGACGCTGGGGAGATGACTTAACCTCTCTGAGTTTTGGATTCCTTGTCTGGAAGACGGGGATCATGAGAGAACCCACCTCGCAGGCCGCTCTAAGTGTTAAATAAGAGAAAGCAGGCAAATTGCTGGGCACAGTGTCCTTCCTCTCGGTGGGTGACTCCTGCTACTCCCCCCGCCCCCGCCCTCTAAAGCGCCGCCTTCTCTAGTCAAGATTCGAGGTCTTCATCACCATCCCTCATACTTAGCTGACATCGGAAGCACCTCTAAAAATGAAGTGCCCCCCCTTCTGTATTTGTACCCCCAGGTCCAAGACACCCTTGTTCACAACTGACAACAGGCGGGGGGAGCCATCGATGGATAAAATGGCTCAACAAAGTGGGGTGCACACACACGACAGAATGTTACTCAGACGAAGGGGGGATTGTGACACGTGGGGGACGTTACGCGGCGTGAGTGAAGCGACACAGTCACGCAGGGAGGGACGCTCTAAGATTCCCCTTCCACGAGGTGCCCGGAGCGGCCAGATTCACAGAGACAGGACGAATGGTGTGGGGGGGGGGAGGAAGGGCGAGTCTGTCTACGGGGCTCAGGGTTTCAGTGCGGGCAGACGAAGGGAGTTCTGGGGACGGCCCTGGAGCGCGGGAGTGCGAGGCCGCGGAGCCGTATACTTAAAAACGGCGAAGATGGCCAAAGTTTTCAGCATTTGACCACAGTTTTTCAAATTAAAAATGGAAAACAAACCAAAAAGACACCTAAGGACCTCCCTAAGGTTTTTTGTTTTGTTTTGTTTTGTTTTGGGGGGTGGGGAGGGCGGTAACAGAAATGGATGGAAATAGTCTGAAAGCAGAGCGGGAGGGACGTCTCACTCTGCAAATGTACAAAAATGGGCTGAACTGTCGGCTTCCCGGGAATGAAGTTCATTTATGTTACGTCAGTGAACTGAGCTCTTAGCTCGCTGCTGAGAGCAGGCGAGCCGACGGATGCCACGCTCACGAGGGGCCGTGCGCGTGATGAACGCGTTGGCCGCCTTGACTGTGCGATGGTGACCCGGCGGCCCACGGATGTCCCAGCCCATCAGATTGCATCCTTCAAACACGTGCAGTTCATTGTGTGTCAGTCACACCTTCATAAAGCTGCTTCCCACCCCCACCAATTCTTTTTTGTTTTTAAAGTAGGCTCTACGCCCAGCTTGGAGCCCAATGTGAGGCTTGAACGCGGGACCCGGAGAACGAGCCCTGAGCTGAGGATCAAGAGTCAGACGCTTAGCCGGCTAAGCCACCCAGGCACCCTCCGTAAAGCTGGTTGTTTTTTTTTTTTTTTAAAGCACAGTTTTCCATATACAAATGAACTCGCATTTTCTTAAACAATGCCCCCTTTTGATGGATATTTAGGTTTCAATTTTCGTGTCCCTATAAATACCATTTCCATAAATATCTTCTTATGAAAAAAAAGGCAGACATTGTCCCCCTTCCCCCTGCTGGCAAGCCACAAAAGGAGAAGTTCCCAGGGTGGGGGCCTGGGAACCTGTAATTTTGTTGAACATTCCAGAAAACATTCTTATAATCAGACTTGTTTGAGAAACATTGGCTCAAACTTCACCAACTTGGATTTACAGGTTTGGAGTTTGAAACTCCATTTTCTTTGGTTCCTGGGGGAAAAAAATCTGTAAATGCTCTGTACAAGGGATTCTAAATTTAGGGTTCCCTTCTGTTGGGGGTGCATCAGAATCCCCAATGCAGACCCCACTCCCAGAGAGGCTGTGTAGCGTCGCCAGATTTAACGTAAATAGAGAGATTAAAAAATATAAATGGGACATAGGGTAACCAATTAACCTGGATTTCAGCCAAATACCAAATAATGTTTTTTAGCATAAGTGATCCCTTGCAATATTTGGGATAAGCTTATACTAAAAAATTATTTGGTGCCTATCTGAAATTCAGATGAACTGGGTGTCCTGTGTTTTATCTGGCAATCGTAAGCCATGAGTCCTCGGGCCTGTGTGAGGCCCAGGGATCGGCGCTGTTGGTCTGCTCCCCACAGGGTTATGATGTATGTGGGGGGGTGCGGGCTTTAGAATCTGTGCTGAGGACTCTGGGTCAGGTCAACACCTTTGGGTCAGGAGCTGCCCCAGGACCCTGGTGCGTCCCATGAACAAACACATCTTCTGAGGAGGATAAGGCAGCTGAGCAGAAAAATTCGCCCACTTCTTCAAAGTCAAAAGTGATGGATATGGCATCCTGGCCCACGCAGCTGGAGGGACGTCACTGATCTTCTCGGGGTGCACATTTAGGGCTGCCCGTGGGCTCGAAACCCCAGGAGTCTGTCTAGATCCTCTAAATTTTATTTATGCTCAGCCTGTCCCAGAAAGGAATTTAAGCCTTGGAGGCCTCAGTCCATGTATCGTTCTTGGGGGCGCGAGTCAGATAAATGCGCCAACTCACTGGGACCCACATGGTGGATACCAACATGTGCTCACCGTGAGTGGGCACCAGGCTAGTCTTCAATTAGAGTTGACTCTTTCAGAACCTCAAGGTGAGCCTGCAAGGCCTCTGCTGTCACTGGGTCCACTTTGTAGAGGAGGTTCTGGGGGCCCAGGAGCTTGCTCAGGTTCGGGGGGGTCCAGGGTCTTGCTCAGGTTCGGGGGGGTCCGGGGTCTTGCTCAGGTTCTGGGGGGTCTGGGGGCTTGCTCAGGTTCTGGGGCGCCCGGGGGCTTGCTCAGGTTCTGGGGGCCCAGGGTCTTGCTCAGGTTCTGGGGGGTCCAGGGTCTTGCTCAGGTTCTGGGGGGTCCAGGGTCTTTCTCAGGGGCACACACAAGCACTCAAGTGGTAGAGCTAGGATTCTGACCAAAGCCTGTGTGGCTAACGGCCCCCCGCTCCAGCCCCCATCCTGCCTCTCTGGGGAACAGTATGTTCCTTCGTCACTGAGCTTTAATGGGGAAGTTTTGTATTACATTTTGCTCTAACTGGGGCCGTATTTCAGGTCAGGATCCAAGGACATTTCTGATCGGGGCATAACAACAGCTGCCATGTGCTGAGTGTCTGCTCGGGGCGGACACTGACTTTCCTGCTTTGCAGGTGGATATTCTCTCAATGCCACGTAGCCCTGGGGAGCCTGGCACCCAAAACATAAAGAGCCCTGGCTGAGGTCACACAGCAAGGGAGCTGCAGAGTGCTCATCGGCCTAAGATGAAGCATCCGTCTCTGAGTTTTCAAAAGCACACACCTGCTTCCCTCCTCCCCTAACCACGTTGGCAGTTTTAGGAGAATGCTGTGGTTCTGGTCGGCCTCTGCACAACTCTTACATGTCGTTCCAGGAAATTCCCAGAAGAAGGCGCAAGGACCCCACCCCCACCCCCCACACCGCCCTACCAGGATCCACTTTTGGTGTGAACCTTGCAAGCTCCAGTGAATCCATGTCACTTGTGTGCGGAGCCTGAAATCCGAGTGGCACACCGTGGACAAGCACCACCCTTCGGGTGCACGGAAGGCGACACGACACGGCACCTCTGGCCCCCTACCCTGCAAGGGCCTGGACTCACCGAGGGTGGGTTTTCGATGACCAGTTCGTAGGTCAGCCCTGTAGACCCAAATCTCAGGATGTCTCCGGGTAGCAGCTTCACGGCCACATTCTGAATGTGGCACTCGTTGACGAAGGTGCCGTTTCGGGAATTGAAGTCCTGGAGAACAAAGCTGTCCTCGGCCTCATTGTATTCGATAAGTGCATGATGGTTGTCGATGTCAGGAGACTGAAATACAGAAGGAAGACAGCTGTCACCAGGGCCCCTAACGTCTACTAGTGAGCACTGGGTACCAGAAGGTGCTAAGTGCCTCGCCTGGCCAGCTGGTCACCATAGCCCTTATTTAAAAATGATGATGCTTGGGGACACCTGGGTGGCTCAGTGGTTGGGTGCCTGCTTTGGCCCAGGGCATGATCCTGGAGTCCCCGGATTGAGTCCCACACTGGGCTCCTGCATGGAGCCTGCTTCTCCCTCTGCCTCTTTCTCTGTGTGTCTCTCATGAATAAATAAATAAAATCTTAAAAAAAAATAAAAATGATGATGCTCGGACTCTGGGCTGGGTGTGGAGCCTGCTTAAGACTCTCTCTCTCTCCTTCTGCCCCTCCCCTCCACCCTTCCTCTCTCTCTCTAAGAAAAAAGATGACACTCAGGATCATGACACTCATGATGACACTCAGAGAAGTTAATGACCTGGCTAAGGCTACATGGCGTAGTGGGGCTGGGGTATGTGCTCTCTGACTCCAGCCCCAGAGCAGGTGCCCAGGTTGTGGGGAGAGGGACCAGGTAGCGCAGAGGCAAAGGAACTCGGGGGAGTCTGGAGGAGCACATGTCTGGCTCCTTTAGGGGAGTCAGTCACTTTTTATTTTTCTGACCCATGGAGTTATGCTTTTGGTGGTCCAGATGGCAGGACAGAAAGCAAGAATGTCCCCAGACACAAACCAGGAAGGCCAGTTGGCAAGTGACAACTATCCACTTTCCTGCAAGGAAAATCCTGCGTCCGTGGAATAAGTACATATAGTTAAGGGAGGGGAGGGTTTCTAATGATCGCCATTCATTAATTTTTTGTTTGATTCGTTTTAAAAATAAAAAATAAAAACATAAAAATAACATTTAAAAAAAGTTACAGAGAATGAGAACTGGGGAAAAACACCAAAAACAAAACAAAACAAAACAAAAAACAACAACCCATTAAAATCACTTCGGCCCCCACCACCCTAGGGGGCGAGCACTGATAACACTGTGGCTCCCTTCTTTCTGGTTTTATGTCTATGCTTAAAGTCTTTATAAAAAGTTCAAACAAAATTGAGATCACACCACATAACACAGTTCTATGACTACCTTTACAAAACCTTGATGTACAATGAAGATAACCCCATAGAGATTGGTTATTTCTCAGAATTTAGCTAATTGGAGATGACTTGCTTTTTAATAGGAGGCCAGGTGTGACTACATTTCCATAAAGAAAGGGACCCGGACAGTGTGTCTGTGAGTTGCCAGTGGGGTTGGGGTAGGGTGGCAGAGTCATTCCGTGATTTCACTTTGGTCAGAGAGTGAGCAAAGTTCAGCATCCAGGAGGAAATACCATGTTGCTCGGCTGCGGGGCTCTGGACTATGGCTGCAGGGCACATGTGAAGTCTTTCTTTCCAGGATGCTGTTATTAGACATCCACTCCAGTCCGAGACTTTGCAGTTAGTTTTTAAATTTGTCTTCTCAGTCTACCTCATCTGACGTTCATGCAAACATAGTTGCACTTAGAAAAGTGTAAAGTCCCATAATACAATGATAACCAATAGTTTGTATCAATGATATAATAACAGCTTATATTATATAGCTTATATTATACTGTACATTATATGCCAGGAAATTTGCTAAGTGTTCTACTGAATTATCCCATTTCATCTGCCCAATAACCCAAAGGGCTAGTTCTCCATTCTGTAGATAAGGAAACTGAGGCACAGAATGATTAAATTTGCCCAAAGTCACCTAGCTTGACTAGCCTTCACTAACCTGGCACGTACTCAGGTTTGCTTGATTCAAATGTCTGTATTCTTACCCATCTTGAATATTTTTATCATACACGTGGGCACTCAAAATATGGAAAGACAAAAAGCAAGCAGGAGGAACTATATTAATTTCAGATGGAACAGACTTGAGAGCTAGGAGTGTTACCAGGGATAAAGGGAGGCATTATGTGATGATAAAGGGGCCACTTCTCCGAGAAAACATAACAGTCCTTAATTGTATGTGCTTCAAGATAGAGCATCAGAATAAGTGAGGCAGAGAGCGATAGAAGTTTGAGTAGAAACAGACAAATCCATTATGACAGTTAGAGACTCCAACATCCTTGTGTAATGGACCAATTCCGCAGGCAGAAAATTAGTTGGGTAAAGCTGAACTGAACAATACCATCAAGCAACTGGATCTAATTGATGCATATAGATCGCTTCACCAAATAACAACAAAATGCACGTTGTTCAAGCTCACATGCAACATTCACCACGAGAGACCACATTTTGAGCCACAAAGCATAACAGATTTAAAAGAACAGAAATCTTACAAAGCATGCCCTCAGCCTACAATGGGATCAAACTAGAAATCAATAGTAAAAAGATAGCTGAAAATTGCAAAGTATTTGGAGATTAAATAACATACTTCTAAATAGCATGTCGTCTAAGGAAGAAGTCACAAGAAAAAGAAAAAAATTATCTAAATGAAAGTAAATGCAAATGAAAGTACAACTTGTCAGAGTTTGTGGGATGAGGAAAGCAGTGCTGAGAAGGAAATTTATACCACAGAATGCATATATTAGGAAAGAAGAAAGACTTAACATCAATAACCTAAGCTTCCACCTTAGGAAAATAGAGAATGAAGAGCAATATAAGCCTAACACAAATAGAAGGAAAAAAAAAACAATAAAAATTAGAACACAAATGAGGGAAATAAAAAGACAAGAAAATAATAGAGAAAAATCACTGAAATCAAAAGTTGATTCTTTGAAAAGATCAATAAAATTGGCAAGCCTCTAGTAGGCTAACCAGGAAAAAAAGAGACAGGATACAAATTACTAAAATTAGAAATGAAAGAGAGACCATTGCTACTGATACTATAAACATTAAAAGGATAATAAAGGAACATTATAAATAATTCTATGTCCACAAGTGTGATAACTTAGATGAAAGTGACCACCTCCTTGAAAGACACAAGGTACCAAAACTCATTCAAGGAGAAATAAATGATCTGAATAGGCCCATATATAATAAAGAATGTGAATCAATATAATAATCTTCTAAATAATAATCTTCTAAAACAGAAGCACTAGGCCCAGATGGGTTCATTGGTGAATTCCAACAAATGCTTAAGGAAAAAATGATACCAGCTTTCTACAACCTCTTCCAGGAAATAGAAGAAGGATCACTTCCTAACTCATTCTGTGATGACAACATTACTTTAATACCAAAACCAGATAAAGACATAAGAAGAAGGGAGGACTTCAGGCCAACATCTCTCATAGATATAGATACAAAATCCTCGACAAAATATTAGCAAATCGAATCCAACAAATAAATGTATGCAACGAATTGTGCACCACAAGCAAGCATGCAGGTATGCACAGCTGGGTCAACACCTGAAAATCAATTAATGTAACCTATCACCTCAACATGCTAGAGAAGAAATGTCACATGATCCTATCACTAGATGAAGAAAGAGCATTTGAGAAAATCCAAGATGCATACACCATTAGAAAAAGAACACAAAACTTCTGGCAAAGTAGAAATAGAGGGGAACTTCCTCAACCTGATAAAGAACATTTACAAAAACCCTAAAGCTAACGTCACATTTGATGGTGAGGAACTAGAAACTTTCCCATTAAGATCAGAAACAGGGGGGCAGCCCAGGTGGCTCAGCGGTTTAGCACCTGCCTTTGGCCCAGGGTGTGACCCTGGAGACCCGGGATGGAGTCCCACATCGGGCTCCCTGCGTGGAGCCTGCTTCTCCCTCTGCCTGTGTCTCTGCTTCTCTCTCTCTCTCTCTCTCTCTGTCTCTCATGAATACATAAATAAAATCTTAAAAAAAAGAAATTAAAAATACAAGAGCATTTCCATTAGCACCAAAAAAGAAAGAAAGAAAGAAAGAAAGAAAGAAAGAAAGAAAGAAAGAAAAGAAAAGAAAAGAAAAGAAAAGATAAAAGAAAGACCAGACAGACTTAGGTATAAATCTAACAAAATATATAAAGGTCTAGATGAAGAAAACTATAAAATCTTGATGAAAGAAATCAAAGATCTAAATAAACGACAAGATAGCCCATGTTTATTTGTAGTTCCTTAATGATATATGATGTTTAGCATCTTCTCATAGGCTTATTTGCCATGTGTATATCTTCTCTGGTGAGGTGTCAAGTCCTATCTTTTGCCTATTTCCAAAGGCAAGGTTGTCTGTTTTTTTTTTATTGTTGGGTTTTAAGACTCATTTATTTTGGATACATACATATTGTATTATTATTCATAATCACCTCAAACTGGAAGCAACCAAGATGTCCTTTAAAAGGTAAATGGATAGGCAAATTGTGGTATATTCGTACAATAAAATAATAGCCTGATAAAAGAAATGAGCTATCAAGCCACAAAAAGACACGGAGGAACCATGTAAACGCACATTGCTTAGTGAGAGACGCCAGTCTGGAAAGGCTACCTAGTGTATGATTTCAACTGTATAAAATTCTGTAAAAGGTAGAACTATAAGAAGAGTAAAAAAGATCAGTGGTTTTCAGGGTCTCCGGTGGACGTGGGACAGGATGAATAGATGCAGTACAGGGATTCTGAGGCAGTGGAACTGTTCTGTTCCCTGTAATGACCCTGTAATGGTGCTTACTATACATTTGCCAAAACCCAATGAATGCACGGAGTGAGCCCTAATGTAATCTACGGACTCTGGTTAATAATAAGAATATATCAACACTGGCTCATCAGTGGTAACAAACGTCCCATGTTAAACAAAGCAAGATGTGAATAATAGGGGAAGCTCGGTGTGTGTATGGGGCGGGTGGATAGATGGGAACTCTAAGTACTATCTGCTCAATTTCCTATAAACCTCCATCCGTTCTAAAAAGGAAAGCATTTGTTTCAACGTTACAGCGCATTAGTTCTTTGGCAAATGCCACGCACATCGTGGTCATCATTATTCCCATTGATCTCTGTCTTCCATGAGCCCTTGATAATCCATCAAAGAGA